GTGATGTTTTGGGTTTGGGAAATTAAGTAATTAGAATTTTCCAAGTGGTCTGAAGAGCTGGCAATTATTTATTCGATAATTTATTCCGTTAAAATCATTCTGTCTTACCACTATTCCTCTTTTTGGATAAAAATATATAATTAATTGTTTTATAGATTAAGGCGTTTTTAGCTTCGATAAATTAATTCTACTAACGACATTGGTTTTAATGGTCGATATTTCCCTAAAAATACTGGAATACCATAATCTCTAATTGCATTTGCTACCATTACCGTAATGGTACTTTGACATTTTCTCCCAATAAAATATATTTAATTTACTTTCGTTAACTCAAACAATGACAGCTATTAAATCGCACTGCTTCCAAGACCAACGAACTTATGATTGACGTTCAAGACAAAAGATAATCATCGCCACTAAATACCAAATTTCACGACTATCAAGAAAATAAATAAATTTTGTGAGGCCCAAAATTTAAGTGTCACAAAGTTTCGGACAGAACTGATTACACATCTCAAACCGAAGATGGCTAAAAAGACGGCGAAGAATGGAAGAGAGGAGAAAGAAAAGCATATAGAATATTTTTTTGTCTTTAGTTAACCTTCTGAGTTACTACCAGTTTACTTTAATGCCGAGATTTCTTTCTTCTTTGCTATGTTTTGTCTACAGCTGGTCGCTGGCAAATGCATGGCATAGTCACGGCAACATATCTTCGGATGATGTTGCACAAGACAAACGGAGCTAAATGAAGCAAGGCAGCAGCAACAACAAAGTACAAACTTTATGGTTTGTTGTGTCAGCAGTAGCCTACTTTTAGGAGTTACAGGAAAAAAGAACTCTGTGTAATCAACAACAATGAAGGCAACAAACTCTTGCATAGTTTACAGCTGGCGGATGGACCATAAACTAGAGCATAACATTGGACGTGTTTTTTTTTGTTTTTGTTTTTAAATAAAACAATTGAATTATGGTCTGGGTTAGTAGTGGTGGCGTTGATGGTAGTCGTCAGAAGAGCGGGAAACGAAATAAATGTTGAAGACTTTTAAATATTTTTTTGTTGTTGTTATTTTGTAAATAGGGGAGAAAAGTTTTAGGTGGATTTTCTGTTCCTCCCCATTTCTTAATACCGTCTAATGAAATGTTTAAGAGCCATAAACTGGGCATAAATTAAGTTGTTCTCGTTTTTTTTGCATTTCAGGGCTAGCTGTAAAACTTTTCATTTGGAAAAAAATGCCGTAGTTTTGAGTGAAGATGTTTTCATTTCATTAGCATTGGCGCAATGAACGCCGCCTCGGTTTAAAGTCCAGTCCATGGCGGGGAAATTAAACTTTGAAGGTGAATATGAGAGCCTTAAGGTGAATATGAGAGCCTTAAGGTCGAAAAATCATTTTATGGCCTAGACGAAACGGTATACGGCTTTCTTTCTTAATCGTGTTCTTTTGCATTTGTATTAATTTTACTTTGTAGTTTCTTTTAAAACTTTCAAATAGTTGATTATTCAAAAGCTAAACTGATTCTTCTGGTGGGTGTTATAGGGGGATAATGTAGAAAAGATTACAATTTCATTTTTGTGAGTTAGGAGGATATTGCTCAGTTGGGATTAGTTTTAATATAATTAAATGAACGTAACTGATTTTTATTGGTATTTTAAATTAATTTTTTAATTAAGTTACAAGGGGAGACTTTCGACCATAGGCATGGGTACGTTACCCTTTAAATATATAAAATTGAAATTTGTAATTTGTATGTATTAAAAGAAATGAGTAGTGAGATCAGCTATCCTTGTATAGGGACTGAGCTTGATGAAGAACAACTCTGTTATTCTTTGTTAGGGCAACCTGCCATTTTGTACTACATCTTCAGGTACCTAAAATAGCTTTCAGAGGTACAGGTAAAAACGTCAATATGTATGCAATCTGAAGGTATGACTATCTGGTGGATATTTAAAAACCTGAACCGATCTACCCCATTTCCTATCGGAAATTCTTAATTATTATTATATTATTAGCAGGGCATGCTCACATTTTAAACTCTGTTTAAAATTTCAAAATTAAGATATAGAAACACTCGGCCAATAAATAATTTTATGGGGCCTCCAAATATCCAGGGTAAGATGAAGACACCGCAACCAAATTCAGACTGCTGTCATTTCTAAGCCACTCGTCCGACAGCTGTTAAAATTATTCCAGTGACAGCTCATAATATTGTTTACAAGAGTACAAAAGCATTTTGCTAAGAATTTTCCAGAAGAAAAGTTATTCGTGATGTAATTCAAGCGTGATAGGGTGATTTCTTTTTATTTAGCAGGAAAACCACAAGTGACTATCGTTAGAGCACTCCAGCATTTATATGTGAATACATCTTTTGTGTCTCGTACCATCGCTCGTTACCGTGATACTGTTAGAGTTGCCCGACGTCAAGGAAAAATGAGCTATGAAATTCAAAATAGACTGAAAAGAGATAAAGAGTTGCTTTGCTTGGCCGAAAGTGGTGAAGTGCCGAATGTGGTTTTCTCCAATGAGACAAACAAAATGACCATGTTTACTTGTCAAAAAGGTCAACAGAAAATGTGCACCTTCAGTTGGCCACCAGAACTCAAGCGCCTGCCATGGTGATGGTGTATGCCGCCATAATAGCTGATGGTCGCTCTCCGCTCGCATTAATCGACATAAATGCCGAATATTATCGCGAAAATATTCTAGAGGGTGTATTAAAGCCTTGGGCTAGCAAACATTTTGGCTGCAGATCTTGGACATTCCAACAGGACTCAGCACCATCGCATTCAGCACGCGCCGCCCAAGAGTGGTTCATTCCTCTCTTCATTTCCAGGGCACAATGGCCACCAAAATCTCCGGATACCAATCCGTTGAACTATTGTGTCTGGAGTATTTTGGAAAGCAGGGTTGGCACTAAAAAATACAAAATTGTCGATCACCTCAAACAAACGCTTCGCCGGGAATGGGTTAAATCACCGCAGAGCAACATTCGGGCAGCGTGTGATGGTTTCATTGGCCGCTTGAAGGTCATAAATGACCACTTCGAACAAATCTAAATTTATTCTAAAATGTGATGCTATTTCCGACATTTTTTGCTATCATTCAATAAAATTAAAAAAAATGTAAAAATTATGGCGTTTGACTTTGTTGCAGTTTTTTTATCTCACCCTGTACATCATCTTCTCAACAGATGTTGTTTTAGTAAAAATGTTTGTATGTGTGAAATTTGTAGAGAATTGGATGCTTATTCCGCATTCGGTTAGCGTTTTAGTTTTTCAAAATCTAGAACCCTATGCGGGGGAGATACTAGAAGGAGTGCGCCGATATATCCTATCTTCACAGCAGAGGGGATGTGCGAAATTTGAAGAGAACCGAGTGGTTATTTCGGATTTTATGATTGTTTTTGTTATTCAAAACTTTGACCCTTTCTGGAGGAAGTAGCAGAAGGAATGATCCGATCTCTACCATCTTTTTAATAGATCTTGTGTTGATGGAAATATTGAGATATTCCAGGTCTGAATGTAAGTAGAAGATGCGTTTTATAAGCTTCGTGTATATACAAAATTTTGGCCCTTTGTGGGGGAGGTACCACAAGGAATTGACCGATATATTCCATCTTCACACCAGACAAAAATATTGCGATATGTGTAATTTGAAGAAAATCATACACATACATCACATTTTATAAGAGTTTTAATTATTAAGAAATTTGACCCTTTGTAGGGAAGGTACTTGATGGAGTGGAGCGATATTGTCCATTTTCGCACCTGACTTAGCACTTATGCAAATACTCGCGATTCGCAAAGTTGGAACAAAATTGGACTAATCTTTCGCTATTTATGCAGTAAATTATATTCTTTGTAGACTTTGAAATGTTGTGTGGGAAAGTACCAGAAGGAGTGGACCGATATTGCCCATCTCCGAACTCGATCTAAATTTGACAATAATATTACGATGTACCATGTTTGGATCAAATCAAATACTCTCTTAGAGAGTTATCGTGCGCACCAGTCAGACAAAGAGACAGACGGGCGGACGTCGCTAGATCGACCCCAAATTTCCTGAAACGGATTTGGTCCAGAGATCTAGGGTCTAAAGCTCTTATTTCGATGAAGCACGTTTTGGCCGTATTAAATGATATATACCCTCTGTAGCCATATGGCTGTGAGTATAATTATCAATACAGTTTTACGTTTTGATAACTGCTAACATAAATATACCCCCTGATTTAATTTATTTCGAGGCTCCCTACGATCATTTTCAATTCGTTTACCTTGAAATTTATATTTTGGTGTCTGAAGGTATTTAATACAATCAGCCTTCCGACTGAAGGTATTTAATACAATCCTTGTATTGTTATCAGTTTTCATTGTTGAAGACACTATATACCTAAAATGCCCGGGTTTAAAAAAATTATAAACCGGAATTTTCTAAAAATTTAAAAGAGGCAGGAACTTGACCCATTTCGAGTAATTATTGAAAAATTCAATTTTGTTGCACAGTGTTATCATTGGGATATTCGAACTTTAACGTTGTTGCAAATTATTGTTGTCCAAATTCAAATTTGTAAATCCGTAAAGGAGCATAAATTTCTATTACGAAAATTGAACCTTATACTTAGTATTTAACATTTTAAATGGATACATATTTTACTTTGCAAAAAAAAAAATGATGAATGCTGCTTCAGATAATGTCAGTAAAAGAAACCCAAAATTTTCCGAAATTATTTGCTTTGTGCCTTCAGCACTAGATTTTCCATAGAAAATTACGAAATAGATGCAGCGTTATTTTATGTTTATTATGCTTCTTATCCTCTCCTAAATAATTCATTTCAATTCCGCTGTTTGGGCAACTATTATTCCCTCAGCACTCTCATCTTGAGTAAATTTCATAATTTTTTAAGAAAATATATTTTAAACTCCGAAACCTTGTTTAATTGTTTTTCTTCTTGTACTGATTATTATCCTTTTCCTCTCTTTCTCTTTCTCTTTTGTTTCGTTTTAGGTTAATGCGTACACAACTGGAAGCTATGCGACAAAATGAAATTTAATTTATGAAAAATTTAACAATGTCATTGAGGGCTTCTGTGGCCATTATTAGGAGAAGAACAAGAAGGGACACATTGGCAAGGTCGCCAAAGTAACTCTATAGTCAGTAATAATGTCGGAAGTTGTCCATGCCTTAACAAATTTCTAAAAAAAAAAAAAAAAACATTTCCGAAAACAAATTCCCTGCAACATACTTTGTTGTTATTGCACGTGCTGTTGCTGTTGTTGTTGTTCCCGTTTGCTGACTACGCTCGGTACACTCGGTGGCTTGTGGTACTGGCTGAGAGCACAAAAGCGTATAAATTGTTGAAAAGTGTTGCCAAAATTACACCCATGAGAGTCTTTAGCAAACAACGACGAATGAAACACACAACGGATATTATGCCACACAAAACAATACCGAAAAAATAACAAAAGCAACAACAACAACGAAAAAAGACAAAGAGTGAGAGAGACAAAACACAAAATAACAATCTCAACGGAAACCCTGAAAATTCATTCCAAAAAAACAGAGCCAGGGATGGCATGGAACATTAGAAGCCAAGTGCGAACGTAACTAATTTAAGAGAGAAGCAAAAAAAAAAGTGCCACGAAAATTAGTTAGCACTTTCATGTAGCATTGTCGTTATCGACCTTGTCTAGTAGCCGACCAGAATACAAGCTTATTAAAGAGAGAGAGAGAGAGTGCGAAAAAAAAAAAAACAGTTTTTCCAAATTAGCCAACATGTTTCACACCACAAGAGATTGCTACCTCAATGATAAAGAACCAAATTGAATTATTAAAGAAAAGAAAACGCCAACAAAAAATAAATTGAATTTCGTAAAAGGCCCAAAAAATCAAGTGATTCGTGACCTCCCTCTACCCTCCCAATTTCCTTTCAATTACATTGAACATTTCCCGCCAAGTGTGTCCGCCAAGTTTGTATTTAAAACAACTCGGTATAATTCAAATACGCCAAGTAATGTCTTGAATTCTAATTTGTTAACGATTTTTTCACAACAACAATAACAAGAAAAGAAAAAAGATAAACCAAAAAAAAAAAAAAAAAAAAAACGAAAAGAAAAGAAAAGTGTAAAAACAAATCGCCGAATAAACCCAGAACACCGGAAGTGAAACCAGTACCCCTCAAAACCAAGTGGAAAAAGAACAACATCAATAGAAGATTTTTCATTACCCTGCGTTCAAGTTTGTGAACCCAAAACAAAACCTCCCTGCATCAATATGGCACGTCAACGCCTGCAAGAAAAACAACATCAGTCTCAGCCTCTGCTAGACCACCAACCGCCACATCCACATCCCAGCCACCAACAACACCACCACCATCAGCCTCAAATGCTTGAATGCCAACAGAGTTCACAACTGCCTCCAGAATCCTCGTTCACATCTACTTATCATCATCACAAGACGCGGAGACATCATTTCCCCCGCTGTGGATTAGTTTTGTTAATTTTTCTAACTGTGATTAAAGGTAAGTGCCGCACAATGACATTTAAACTAAAAATAAAAATTTGCCAAATGAACCATTTAAACAAAAAAAAAAAAAAAAACAAGTGAACAGTGGGCTCAAATGAATTAGAGCTAATTTTAATGATGTTTTAAACATGAAAAATGTTATAATTTTGCAATAATTTAAATCAAATGGGCTCCGGATTTAAAATAATTTTTTTCGTCTAAATTTAAAAAGTCAAAGTTTTAAAAGGATAAAATATTTCCTCATAACCGTTGTTTCTTTTATTATTATTGTTATTATTATTATCATTATTATTATTATTATTATTATTATTATTATTATTATTATTATTATTATTATTATTATTATTATTATTATTATTATTAGTATTATTATTATTATTATTATCATTATTATTATTATCATTATTATTATTATTATTATTATTATTATTATTATTATTATTATTATTATTATTATTATTATTATTATTATTATTATTATTGTTATTATTATTATTATTATTATTATTATTATTATTATTATTATTATTATTATTATTATTATTATGATTATTATTATTATTATTATTATTATTATTATTATTATTATTATTATTATTATTATTATTATTATTATTATTATTATTATTATTATTATTATTATTATTATTATTATTATTATAATAATTATTATTATTATTATTAATTATTATTATATTTATCATTATTTTAATTTTTTTTTTTTTGAACAATTCCGATTTTTCTTGTTTGAATTTTGCAATAAAGTAGGATTCTTAATTCTTCTGGCTATTGAAGAAGAAATCGCCAAAATTTCGAAAATCAGAATCTTCCCGTTATGCGGGGGCCATACTTAAAATATGTTTTCCATTTTCATTCCGTTTTTCAATACCAAATAACCTAGGAAAAATTTAAATTTCTGAGGAAAATTGAAGCTATATTTTAATAATGCTAACTTAACAACAATCGACACATATGGCTAAATCGACATCGAATTTATAGCAATTATGGTCCGATATTCGTGAAATTGTATACCCGATTAGGATAAGAATAGAAGCTTATTGTTTTAAGAGAATTTGAAGATGATCGCAAAATATTTAAGGCATAAAAGGGAGCAAACATGATTTCTATTCCTGATTTTAGATTTGATCCACATGCCATGTTTTTGGACCACTAGACGCGGATTTGAGCATGGAGTGAGAGTTTAGAATAGAACAGAAGTCTGCTATTTTAAATGATTATTGGAACATATTTAGCGATCGAAATGTGCCATATTTTTTTTTTTTTTATAAAAAATTAAAAAAAATCAAGTCTACACAAACTTTACCGCGAGTTATAGTGGTATAGGGTAACACCTGGTTCAATTTTGCTATGAATATGATTTTTACTTTGTTTTGTATTTATTCAAACATAAAATTAAAAATTATTATTAAATATGATTAAAATATTTTAATAACAAAATACAAGAAAACCGACACTATGTACGGCAGGACCGAATTTTATTGCAACCTTCATTAGGTGATATAAAAATTGTCTGTCTTCAAAAATCATAATATTAGGAACCCCATTATATAAATATTGCATATTTTTAGTGATTTAATCTTCCTACCGATTTTACAGCCAATTTAGTTGGAAATTGGGACGAAACCTTCAAAATACAAAAAATCTGGCCGTGGGGTTGTGGCAAAAATTAGCTGGCCGGGGCCCAAAATTGATTTTTTTTCTAAAATTCAACTACATACCGTAGTCTAATGGCTCCAGATATTCAGATGTATATGTTTAACTCCACACATCGTCCAAAAATAAGTTTATACATCGGCCCAATTCTTCCGGAACCTCTTTCATAAAGGCTCAAAATTTTGAATTGAAATGGTAAATAATTTCCTGATTTTAAGACTTAGGAAATTTCAACAATTCAATATACACACCTTAAAAGTGACAAGATTTCAAAAAAAAAAAAAAAAAAATGGTAAAAACTGAAGGAAGTATGAGATTGGCATAAATGTTTTATCTAATTTTTTTTTAATTTTTTTGAATGAAGGCAAAAAATGTCGGAAATAGCATCAAATTTTAGAATAAGTTTAGATTTGTTCGAATTGGTTACCTTTGATACGAATTATGGTCTTTAAACGGCCAATGAAACCGTCATACGCGAATGTTGATCTGCGGTATTTTGGTCCATTCCCGGCGAAGCGCTTGATTGAGGTGATCGACACTTTGGTATTTTTTACTGCCAATCTTGCTTTCCAAAATACTCCAGACACAATAGTCCAACGGATTGGTATTGGGAGATTTTTGTGATCATTGTGCGCTGGAAATGTAGCGGGGAACCTAATTTTGTAACCATTCTTGAGTGGCGCGTGCTGAGTGCGATGGTGCTGAGTCCTCTTGGAATGTCCAAGGTCTGCGGCCAAAATGTTTGCGTGCCCAAGACTTTAATACACCAGAATATTTTCGGGGTAATAATCGGTATTTATTCTAATGGCCGGGTCGATTAATACGAGCGGAGTGTGACCATCGGCTGTTATTGCGGCCCATACCATTACCATGGCCGGCGCTTGAGCTCTGGTGCCCAACCGAAGGTGCACATTTTCAGCTGACCTCTTTAAAGCAAGTAAATACGATCATTCTGCTTGTTTACAAACTGCTGGACAACGAATGTTTTCTCATTGGAGACGGATAAAACCAAATTCGGCACTTTCACCACTTTCGGCAAAGGGAAGCAACTCTTTAGCTCTTTTGAGTCTATTTTCCATCTGTTGCGGTGTAAGTCCTTTCACTTTTTGGAAGTTCAATGGCTTTACCCCAAGCTCAGTTTTAAATATTTGCCGAATGGAATATTGCGATATGTTCAGCTCACGTGCCATTTTTTCGGCCACTGAGACGAGGGGTTCGTTCAAGTCGCTTCTTTACTTTTTGAACCATTTCTGCTGATGTTGCTGTTTTCTCCCATCCACTTCCTTGACGTCGGTAACGAGCGATGGTACGACACAAACGACTGGAGTGCTCTAACGATAGCTACTTGTGGTTTTCCAGCCAAATATAAAGCAATCACACCATCTCGCTTGAATTCCATCACGAATAACTTTTTTCCGGAAAACTGTCACCAAAATGCTTTTGTACGCTTGTAAACAATATAATGAGCTGTAACTGGAATAATTTTAACAGCTGTCGGACGAGTGGCTTTGAAATGCCAGCAGTCTGAAGTTGGTTGCAGTTTTTTCATCTCGCCCTGTATATATTCATGATCAGCATAAAATTCTAAGCGATGTCCTTCTGTCTGTCTATTGAAATCACGATACAGCCCATATTATTTGACGTGGAGCTTCAAAATTTGGCAGAACGATTTGTATTGTGTCTAGGATTGTTGATATTGAAAATGAGATATATCTGTTCACGTTTTGGGATAGATCAGATATAACGGTACCTCCCGGTATACGGTTTTTGGATAGTTTTTGCCACATATTTCCACCAATTTGTCTAAAAATTGGTATTTGCCGTTCGTTATTGGTTCTAGGCCTAGTGGCGGATAATTGCATATATAGGTCCACGTTTTCGTATAGTCGCTATATAAGTGTAGCTTCCGATATTCGATATTTTGTTTATGTTTGCTACATTTTTCAATGGATTTGTCTAAAAAAGGAATTTGTAGTTAGTAATGGGTTCTAGCTTCGGTGGCGGTGTATATATAGGCCCACGTTTTCGTATAGCCGCCATATAAGGGTAGCTCCCAAAATTCGATATTTTGTTTATGTTTGCCACATTTTTCAACGGATTTGTCTAAAAAAGGTATTTGCTAGGGTTCGGTGGCTTCGGTGGCGGAATATGGCATATACAGGTCCACGTTTTCGTATAGCCGCCGAATAACGGTACCTGCCGATATTCGGTATTTTTACTCACATTTTTGTACGGATTTGTCTAAAAATTGGTATTTGTAGTTCGTAATGGGTTCTAGCTCCGGTGGCAGTAATATTGAATATTTAAGCCCACGTTTTCCCATAGCGCACATATAACGTTTCCAACGGACATTCGGTATTTTGATGATCAAAGCCATATTTTCTAATAGATTTGTTTGAAATTTGGTATTTGTACTTCATAATGGGCTCTGCAACTGGCGTCAAAAAATTATCCATATTGGTCCTAGTCATCCTAGTTACATTTACCCACGAAATTATTTAAAATTTGGTATTTAAGACTCGTAATAGATTACAGTCGTCTTAGTATAAAATTGTCAATATAGGCTCCCGCCCCTCAATAACGGCTCTAACCTTTACCCATTTTTAAAAGTTCGGCCTGACCGAACTTAATGCCTTTTTAATTGTTTTAAATTAATTTTCAATGGACTCTTCGGTTCATAATGATCCCAAATTTTTACTGGCGAACTATAGGACATTTAACATATGACACTAACCTCAAAATCAAAAATGGCAAATCGGAATATTGGGGAAATTTTTAATGGGGAAATATAGGACATTTAATATATGACCCTTAACTTCGAAAAAAATCAAAACGTAATACCATACGAACGTCAAAATTTCTCGAACTTTTCTCTTGTTTGGGTATTTTCATTCATCCAGTTTCTCCCTCTTTCTCAAAATATTAAAATACGTACAAATAGATCACGACCCACTGTGATGAACTCAAATTCTTCATTTCAAAACGGAACGTTAAAGTATGTGACGTTTCAAATTTCATTAACGCCGCTTCAAATGCATTCATGCTCTTGATGATCCAGTTGTCCTTGTCCGTTAGGTGTTTTTCTGGTTCTCCGGCTATTACCATTAGCCGTTACGAAATTCAATTTAAAGTAAATGTTATTTTTGCTACCATTTACAATTATTCTCAGGGGGTTGTGAGGGGGGTCACTACTGCTGTCGTTCCAGGTGATTCATTTTTGTGTCTCATTTCATTCGAATGACTGGCTTTGTCTTGGCTGCGACAGGGGATCATAAAAAGGTCTCCAGGTATTTGATTACCAAGAATGTATTTCATATCCAA